ACAATTTAAAAATCTCAAATAAAAACAAAAAGAAATAAATATTAATCGATAATAATCCTTGTCAGTGTCAGAATCGTTTGTATCACTCTTTCTTCTTTTTTTGTCCCAAAAGCTGCCTCAACAATTTCTAAGAACCTGTCCTTTTGTTGTTCTGTTTTCATCAAATGTTCTTTCAAAAAACTAAATTCTTCACTTCTTATTTTTCTATCCGTTTCCATTTCTCTTATCCGGTCATCATGCCGAGAAGGTGTTACCTTTCGAGTTTTTTTTAATCGGCTAACTGGTGTTGTTGTTGAGGGACCCAATTGAGTTTCCTCTGAATCTGTATGATCTGGTTGTTGCTGTTCTATTTCATTTTTCACACTTTCTGATGTTTCATCCATTGAATCCTCTAGATTCAATGGGGTTACCTTATGTTTGCATCCTAAAAGTTACATTGGTAAGTACTTCCACCTGTTTTGACTAAGGAATCTAAAGGTACACATTTTTGTTTTTTGATGGTTCATACCAGAATTTTTATAATTACAAATATGACAGAAGAAAAATTAAAATATAGTCATGACATACAATAACAATACTACATACTTGCTTAAGATAGTAATGTGAAAGTGAAAGAAGATATCAAACTAACCTAGAATGGAGTGGAGCTCGTCACAAAATGGAGGAATGTCATCAATTCTCTCACTTCCTGTTGTAGTTTGATGCTTCATGTAAGATAAATAAGTTTTTTGCAAATTCGCAAACTTTTGACGACACCGCTTTCCTCCTTTATTCCCAAGATGGAAATTATTTTCCTCTAACTCTTTTGCTATGTCATTCCACAATTTAAGTTTTCTGGTTCTTTTGTCGTCAAAGTAAGTACTTTTTTCCTCTCTTAAGGACAACATTAAATGAGTTGCTTCATTATCCATTTCAGAAGGCTTCTTCTTTGTCCACATCATATCATTAATAGATGGTTGAATGGTCGAGTCATTTTCATTGTGGGGCATAGACCACATAGATTGAAAATCATTCTGAGGTTGATTTTCGGAGTCCATTGTGCTCATGCTGAGACCCCAATGGACACATAGATAAAATATGTTGCTCTGCAGCAGCAGCATCTAAAATTTCATGCCAAACCTATTTGAATATAAAAAATATGCCACTCCCATAATTGATAAATCTTAAAGCAAAGTATGAGAGGTATCCAGTTCTGATACAGAGTTTATTATTGAATATGTGCATACGATGTAGAAAAAGTCACATAATATGTAGGTATCTAGAATCAATAGGGTCAGTTTTACCTTGCACCCCACCTGTTTAATATTTAAATAGCCCATAAATATCAGGCTTTTTCTACAAGGTATACAATATACTATTCCTTTTGCTTATCATACTATATAGTTACCATTCAAAAGTAAATTGGCTGTTTCAAGGTCTTTAACGCAGACCTCGTAGTCTACGCCTTCATAGTTTAAAGTTAGATAAAATTGCTCCATATTATTTTCAATTTAATAAGGAACTGCAAAACTGCTCTTTTAAACGCGCATATAACCTCACAACTACGACGAAAATATCCAATACCCGCCAAAATTCTAACTTGTCACATTTCAAATAATAACCAGAAATATAAAACTGCTCGGGAGTTGGGTAAATACCACAATTTTGCGGTGATAACTATGACATATAACAGCTGATTCATGACGTCACGGATCTTATAACCAAACTGATAACTACACTCGCTTGAACGGATCGGTAAATACCAATCCAGAATGGTAAATACCGTTTCCATTTGGTTATTCGCTTGAATTTGATTATTGTCTGCCCCTTTTTGTGCGATTTGAGTGATCATTCAATACTGAAGTAATGCTGCTACTTACATGAGATTTAATTTCACTTATTATTTCTCTCGTTATGACCGTTGCAAATCACTTTTGTTTTTCACTGATACCTCGATAGAGACTAAAGATGTATACTGTGAATAATTTCCACAACTAGCTGCTAACGTGTTGCGCGATTTTTACTTCGAAGGTTGAGCACCCAAAAACACGTCTACTCTGTCTCGACTCTAAACATGCTATGAATCAACCCCTTCGACGGCTCCGAAGAAGATGGGGTTCATGTGGCCTCATAGCTACTAATAAAAGAAATACTTTTGATTCATTTTTAGCCTGTAACTTTTTTGCTGGCTAGGTGAGAAATGCAAAGGACGCATTTTTGACGTTCAAGTGTTGAAATCAACCTCTTCGACGGCTCCGAAAAAGATGTATGTGGCCCTATAGCTACTTACTGATAAAAGAAACACTTTTGATTCATTTCTAGCCTGTAACTTTTTTGCTGGCTAGGTGACAAATGCCAAAAACAGCATTTCTGACGTTCAATTGGTGAAATCAACCCCTTCGACGGCTCCGAAGAAGATGGGATCTATGTCGCCTTATAGCTACTAATAAAAGGAATACTTTTGATTCATTTTTAGCTTGTAACTTTATTTCTGTCTAGATGAAAAATGCGAAAAACAAATTTTTCATGTTCATGGGGTGAAGTCCACCCCTTCGACGGGTCCGAAGAAATGACCCAATAGCTACTAGTAAAACACTATTCATTTATTTTTAGTTTGTAACTATGTTTATAACTAGGTGGGAGATATAAAATGCTGCCCATGTCCTGAGGGTGTAAACTACCCCTACGTCAGGTAGAAAAAAAACAATAAAATCTAACTTCTACGCCTACATATAAATGATGGGCTTTATTCATTTTTATTATTCATTGACGGTGTTAGCTTTTTTGAAAAGCTGCAAACCTCTTTATAAATATTTTTTCACTAAGGGTGAAACTACCATTTTTGAGGCGGTCTGTTGCTAAAATTAGCTAGAAGTATAATCATGGAAAAGTCTGTAGTTGGTACAAACAAAATGGCTGCTGAAAATTGGCTGCTAACTTCACGCGAATGCCCAGAAGAATTGGCTGCTAGAAACTGGCTGCTAACTTCACACCGGTTTATTTTGACGTTGCGTAAATGGGATGTGAATACATTAAATGTGAGATATTTGAAATTCGAAGATGCTAGTGCTTAATTTCATTTTCAAAATAGTTCATAAGGAGATCTTAGCTGATTCAAATATATCTATACACATTGGATTATCGTTTATATAACTGAACGATACCTAACAGAACTTCATACAAGCAATCTATATGGAAACAAATGAATTCGAATAGGTTAGAGAGAGTCTATATTGTAGCGTTTTTCTGGGTTCTTTTGAGTGTGGATTAAAACACTGGATTCCACAAAAAGAAATGCACTAATTTATTTATCTTGACTAGATAGAACATTTATGTACACCACTATTTATGTCTGACTAATTCCTATGTCGCGCCATTGACTGAACTATACTCCACTCTGCTCTACTGTACTATGCTTCCCTCTCCCGGCCGTAGAGTTATATATTCCACATCGTTGAGTCGAGAAGATTCGGGTTAGCCACATAGCGGCATTCCAGAATCGTCGAGGTCACTTCGCGTCGATCTAGAAGGCGAATCACTGGCACGGTCCTCACCAGATGTGAACTTTTATATTTAAAATAAAAGAAAATGAGACTCAAGATTAAGGTTGCTCTTTTTCAGTATACATCTACAATCTTCGTTTGTCTTCAAGTTTTGCATTTTTCAGTGTCGTGTTAGGTATAAAATTTTGTTAACAAACTCAAAATTGAGACTGAGCACACAAAGCAAAAGTGGTACAAAATAAATCAAAATTACCTCACAACTGTCCAGGTACAAGATCAATCCGAGCAGATGTGCTTTCGCATCGACGATAACTATATTAACACCTATCCGTAAACATATCTACTTCTATTCAGACTAAACTGCTTTTTGTAATTTAAAAAAAGCGTGTCCATATTTGACAACTGCCTGGAACAGTAGGACACTCACACACTTTTGTACGTTTTCAAAAAAAAATACAATGCGAAATGCCAACAACTGTCAAACTGACTTGAAGTCATCACTTGCATCCTGGCTATTGAGTACGTAATTTTGGATCGAGACAAACTCATGCTACTTCATTCTACTAGTCCGTATTCGTTGATGGAAACGGGCACACATCAGGAGAATATTAGTGAACAGTGGAACGATGTATACTTTACTATTGTTGAATGGGTTTTAAGAAATGTTTTACGCTAGATATTAGGGAATTGAAATCATTTTGAATTCATGTGAAACCGTGCCATCAATAAAAATTTTCATCTGGTCATGCTTGTAACCTCATCATATTATGGTAGTAGTCATATGTTACCAAAGTCCACATTTTTACTTTTAGCCTAACGTATCTATCGATCTTTGAGAGCAGTTACATAAAAATAGAAGAATGCTACATTGTAATTCTGAAGTAGTAGGTAGGAAATTTTTAACGTTAAAAGTATCCCAAAGTTCAATTGTACCTATTACTTCTTGGAACACCTAATAATAGTATCCACTAATTCGTTTTTTATACAGTGGTAGTTGGAGTGTAAAAAAAAAGATGGCCCTGGATCTGATAACCTGAAATTGTTGCACGTATCATAGCATTTCTAATTTTTTTATCGCGAATTCCACACTTCATTCCAGTATATAAGCAATAAAATCTTTCCATACATGTAAATCAGATTCTGGTACAATATGACAAACTTAACGTATAAGCACATTTTTATTGATTACTTTATCTGGAATAATTGATGCTTAAATCGATGTGTAGTCGCAACATGGAAATACGCTTATACATTTAAATTATTCTATTGGACAAACCATACAGATAAATACCCACAGGTATAAATTTGGTAATGGCGATTAATTTATTTAATTGCTGAGCAATTAAGGTTACGTTATGGAAATATAACAACAAATAAAAAGCCTTCGATGCAATTTACTTCTCCCGATATATGAATAGACAATGATACTTGCTATATGAGCTAAGCTCTTAAGTCTATGAAGATTTAAATACACAGTTAATATTATGTCCATTTACGACATATCTTTGTTGTTGTTGTGAGAGCTATTGCAATCACGTAATCTGTTGTTCATTCAGTTATATTCTATTTATTGCTATAAAAATGATAAAAATCTTGGGTCACGTACAAATTGCATTAGCTCCCATTTGATGAAATATTTTGTACTTAAACATTTACGAAACAACATCATTTGGCAGCTGAACTTCTAGAATGCTTGACGACTTTGGTTGCATAGACTCTTTATTTTCCAATAACTTTCAAAACTGCTTTAAAGCGCTAATTGCGTTTGAAAATCTATGCTGCAGATAATATTTTATAGATTTTAGAAGGTAATCTTTTTTATTGCCATTGGCTTTCATTTGTTAGTAAACTAAAATTTATTAGTATACATTTTCAGTCACCGAGACCATATTTATTATTACCAGAGCTACTTACTACTGCTATATTATTTTCTTGCCTCTTCTGAACAAACTTGTGTTATATAGTCCTAGATATCGGCGGTGGATATCGATTTTCATAGATTTTATAATGGATTTTGAACTCCATCAACTATTTTATATTCGTCGGGATTCTACTTTTGATACATTTGGCCGTAATAACCAAGATCAATTGATAGATCTTCATATGGGGTAATTTAGAGTGTCATAATGAGACTCAAACACCTTCATATTGACCGATTCTCAACATAGTGTTTTGAAGGTAAAAAAATGTCAGTATTTCCCAGTATTCCTTTATAACTTGGTGGTCACACATTTTATATCTGTTCTTTGAGCATTTACCCTAGGGCCAAGAGGGCGAAAACCCGACCAAACCCTAAGAGGCACTGGGCGCTGAATCCTAAAATACGCTACTGTCTCAGGCTTCAGGACAAGATGAACAAATTTTTGTTGAATGCATTTCCGGTAGTGTATGTGTATAATGTCTGGAATGTATGTCTTCAACATAATTTTCTGTTTGATCCAAAGGTTGTTATTGCAACAATTTTCTAAAAATATTGTAGAATGATAGCATAGTCATTCCTGTCATTGCAACCAAAACCCAACCAAGCATTTTGTAAGAGGCTAAAACTGTGCCATGTGTTATTTCTTCTATATGCTATGGCCACTTGTTTCAGGAGTAATGCAGGCCACATTGTGTGGGGGTGAAAAACTGGAAAAGAGGTACAGTCCTAGCTTCAGAGAAGAATACAGTAGCAAAGTGAAGACGGACCGAAAGCGGAAGAGAAACGAAGAAGTATTTAAGTAAGTGTCCATTGCTTCAGATCAGTTTTAATTCGCAAGACTTCAACTGCTTAACATCAATAACATCACCAGTTATAAAAATAATAATAAAGTTGATGCGTTTCGCTTTTTAAAGTTTACCATTGCATACATGCATGTTTTCTCTATTACACTACTAAGCACGGATCAAGGTAGGGGATATGGGGTTCTGAACACCGTAAAACAAAAGTATCTATGGGGCCAATGTTTCCGAGTTACGGGCCCTCCAAATTGGGCAGTCTGTACCCAATTACAATATTTTTGAAAATGTATCCTTCACAGGGATGGCGCAGCATAATTAATGTGAGCAGTTTTTAAAGTATCTCTGAGCAATAAATACTTCATTCATGTAAGTTTGGGCAAGCATGTACATGTGTTAAAATTGCAATAATGGTGAACCGGCTGATAGGGATGAAGATAAGAAAATAAATAAATAACAACTATTACATATCGAACCAACAAAATGCTGGAATGTAGGTCGGACTGTCCAACTTGTAAGCCTTTCATCTCGCACTACTCATTACTTATTATTAGCTAAGCTCGAATCTGCTGGCTTGTCAGACCTTTACTGATTCTCATAAAGTCATATATTTTTGAAACGAGCATATACGCGGAATATGCCGGCTATTAATCCAATACGTATACTGCAACATCTAATATGCCTCAAGGGTTGTTCATAGTCTTCAATCAATGACTTATCGCTGTCTTTCCATGCATGCATCTATTTTATGCTGATGATTTGAAAATGTACATGTATGCTGTTATCATTGACTGCATTCTGTTGCAAAATTGTGTGAACTTGATCTTCTCATGTTGCTGTAACAATCAACTTGATATTAATATTTCAAAATGCATTGTTATGTCATTTACTATAGTATACGATAATTATAACATTGATGGCAACCTGCTAGAACGGACTTCGACTTTCAAGGATTTGGGTGTCGTTTTTGACGCTAAATTGACCTTTAGCGCCATGTCGTCAGTCGTTTCTACAATTGTAGGACGCCTTTATCGCCTCCTTGATTTTCATAGTATTTTCTCTCCTTTAGAAAGGATTTCTAGAATTCTACCGTGTCAGCGTCAGCGCTCTCCTATTGTGAGGTTATTTCTTTTTGAATCTCAAGAAATTTCAGGCTGATAAAACAGATGAAAAAAATAATTTTATCAGCTTTTCAAAAGTTGTATCTATGGTATATGTGTAAGTGTAAGTGATTTGTGATCGACAAAACTCTGTATTGGATTGTTACCGAGATTGGTATTTTAGTGTGATATAGAATCAATAAGTTGAAAGCTATTTTCACGTTTCAAATACTGACATATTTGTATACATTTATGTGTTTTTTATATTCAGCTTTTGTTAAATTATTGATTTATTTTCGTTGTTGGTTTATTTCATGTAATTGGGTGTAACCTGTTGAGAATTATAAATAAATACATAAATAAATAAACTACGACTGGAAAAACTTTGAACTCGTAGACAACTTTGTTCTACGTGTTGAGATATACAATTTATAATATATAATATATACATTGAAAAAAAATAGCCAAAATTCCCCTTAGAGGTTCTGCGGAGTCTTTCAGGAAATATTTGGCTTGGAAGCTGAAACCGTAGTTTCCGTCTTGTTGATATTTCGTCTTATTTTATATAGCATTAAAACGTTACGGTATAATTCGAACGTAATCATCTAATAAGTTTTCCATATATTTGTATTGAAATCTAATCAATTCACATTTCCGTCATATTCAGACGCTCAGAATGGAAGCTCACTACGGTCCATACACAGTCCGATTTCATTCCCAACTAACAATTATCACTCCTATTAGAGTTGCAAGAATGATTATACAGTATTCCTTAAACAGCATTGTATACTGTAAGAACGTTAGCAAAACCTTCTTAGAACAGCTATACAAGCGGAATGGGCACACCTAATATGACACTTCAGTCATTTAAGAGGTTGTATAAGGGCTGCAGGTAACAGTTATAAAACAAAAGTGGAAGCCTCTTGCAGCCGCTATAGGACATTTGCGTCAGTGCAAGATTCAGTTTTTGTCAACTATACAATGATTCTCTTACGTGATTCTACTTTATTGCTACCAAACTATTTCCTATGTATTGTATAGACGAAGTGAAGAATATATAACTAACACATTACAGTCATCTTGTTTACTTACATATCGGCCATTGTGAATTTCATACCCAGGTATATGATAAACTTCTTCACTTTGATATAGGGCTATTGAATTACTTGCGCAGCAAATTTTATTGTGATTATCGTGCAAATTAGTTACCCAATTTCTACGGGCTTCGTATTTGATTCATATTTTGACAATGATCAAAAGTATGTCTAGATTTTTAAGATGGAAAACTGAACTTATCTGCGTTAATCTTCCACAAATCCTATATTTAGACACAATTGCACTAATGTTTATCACTTTATATCTGTAATTTCGAACTGAAATATAATTATTTAATATTAAATAGAGGAACAAATGTTTGCCCAATATGGCGGGTGGTTGTGTACAATCATGGCATCGTCCATGTTGTCTTTAGGTTATTAGAATATTTTGGTAATATATTTGACAAATGTCTGAAATGAAATACCGACAGAGTCGAATGATTTACCCAGAATTTGTACCAGATCTATATCTTCTGTTTGAACAGTTGATAAAACCTTTTGAACCGATGTGCATGCGTTGTTTGTCTTAAAACATTTGTTATGGCATTTTAACAAAAATATGACAGCAGAAAGTTAGGATATGGTGAAGTTGTTTACCAACATATTTAGCATATGTAACAGTTGTATAAGTGCTTCCGTTTTGAGCAATTTGTTGGCTAATGTAGTAAATTGCACAGCAAAGCAACAAGGCTCGGGTTTGTTTTATAAACGTTAGCATGGGTGCCACAACACAACCATTTTGACTAACTTGCAAATATGCCGTATAAAATAGTTGTATAAACGTTTATGCAACAGTTAAAAATTTGCCCTATAAGGTGTTGTATAACTATGCTATAAGAATATTTTAAACACGTCATTTTAGAGCAAATATGTTGCAGAAAGCAAATTTGCATTCCACACAACATTAAGCCAGCATTTTGGTGTTCAGGCAACAACAATAGAGAGCTTTTATGGCTGAACGGTTCTTTTACCAAAAGCTTATACCACTACTTTGCTAGTTGGGTTGCTACTAGGCGTGTTAAGAGTGATTGTTCGGCCGGTGATTGGGTGGAATTTTTCTTTATGTTATCGAGTTGGTGATATTCATTCCATTCGCTTTATTAGGATGCGAGTCCATCACACGGGCAACCCAAAGGACGTCCTGAAGAGCATCTCGCAAGCGGACAACACCAACAAGCAGTACTTCCTGATGCTGGAAAACATCACATCCCACTACAAGCACCCGTGCATTTTGGACCTGAAGATGGGCACCAGACAGCACGGAGATGACGCATCTGCCGACAAGAGGAGGAAACAAATGGCCAAATGCGCAGCTAGCACTTCGGCATCACTCGGTGTTAGGTGAGTATTCAGTAAAAAATAACATAAAGTATGCTAACACAGATGACGTCCAGTTCAAGCATTCTCTCTCTATCTGTTGCTATCATCATGACTGTAAACTGCCAAGCATTCGCTCTACACCATGTTCTACACGCAGTAGTTTAGTCACGCCTTCCTTGAGGACAGGATTGGCGAATACGTGTCTCCCTTACGCAGCTTAATCTCTTATCTCTAGTTTTCGTGGACCACGCTTATATTCCACTGTCTGTCCAATGATTTTTCCCCCACCGCGTGCGCAGCGATCTATTCAGTTCCTCCCATTGTGCACTTCGTTTCCGGCGAATACGTATAGAACAACACGAATTACAAGGGCCTGCGATGATTGCTCCCTTAAAAAAGTAATCAGAAAATTGGATAGATGCTAGGTATCAAGCTACGAAAAAAAATATAAAAACGTCCATCACGTACACTTTCTGAAATTCTTTTTCATCCTTTGTAGCCTATTATGGCGGATCTCATCCTCATTCAAACAGTGAAAAAATCGGAACCGCCAAACAAGTGTGAATGAAATAATAGAAACAGAACGCAGCATTGGATCAAAATAAGATTCGCCACAAAGACCATAATTATTCCCTGGAACTAAATTTCTAAAGGCACTAGCTAAAGCAGGTCTCTGTTTCAAGTTATCATACTATAAAAAGCATTATCGTCAGATGCAAATATCAAACATGGCATTTTTATTGTCGCTGGCGTAAGGATGCTGATGCAAGACGTTTACTTTGAAAACATTCATAAATGAAACCAAATAGAATTATTTGAATTCATTTAAAAATTCAGTGTAGGTTTAGTTTAATTTCACATACATAGGTACTGTGACGATAAATAGTACTGCAGCCGCGAATGCAAATGGTTGGTCATCGACCGAAAAGGCAACTGCACTCACTTTGGTCCTACGAGGAGATGCTGCAGCTATTCTTCAAAGAATATCACCCGAAGAGTAAGAGGTCTACGAACAACTAGTAGGACATTTGGAGATGCTATATGACCAGTCACATTTAGAACATGTCTACCATACTCAACTAAAGAATCGGTTCCAGAAGTCAGGCGAGTCCTTGCAGGAGTTCGAAGAGGATATTGCGCGGTTGGTATGATTAGCATATCCCAATGTTCAGGAAAGGATAATGGAGAGAGTGGCAGTTCAAGCATTCGTGGATGGACTTCGTGATGGTGAAATGAGGCAAGCCTTACTACTGGCACATCCCCTAAACATATCTACTTCTATTCAGACTAAACTGCTTTTTGTAATCTAAAAAAAGCTTGTCCATATTTGACAACTGTCTGGAACAGTAGGACTGTGTGGACACTCACACACTTTTGTACGTTTTCAAAGAAAAATACAATGCGAAATGCCAACAACTGTCAAACTGACTTGAAGTCATTACTTGCATCCTGGCTATTGAGTACGTAATTTTGGATCGAGACAAACTCATGCTACTTCATTCTACTAGTCCGTATTCGTTGATGGAAACGGGCACACATTAAGACAATATTAGTGAACAGTGGAACGATGTATACTTTACTATTGTTGAATGGGTTTTAAGAAATGTTTTACGCTAGATATTAGGGAATTGAAATCATTTTGAATTCATATGAAACCGTGCCATCAATAAAAATGTTCATCTGGTCATGCTTGTAACCTCATCATATTATGGTGGTAGTCATATGTTACCAAAGTCCACATTACAAGGGCCTGATGATTGCTCCCTTAAAAAAGTAATCAGAAAATTGGATAGATGCTAGGTATCAAGCTACGAAAAAAAATATAAAAACGTCCATCACGTACACTTTCTGAAAATCTTTTTCATCCTTTGTAGCCTATTATGGCGGATCTCATCCTAATTCAAACAGTGAAAAAACCGGAACCGCCAAACAAGTGTGAATAAAATAATAGAATCAGAACGCAGCATTGGATCAAAATAAGATTCGCCACAAAGACCATAATTATTCCCTGGAACTAAATTTCTAAAGGCACTAGCTAAAGCAGGTCTCTGTTTCAAGTTATCATACTATAAAAAGCATTATCGTCAGATGCAAATATCAAACATGGCATTTTTATTGTCGCTGGCGTAAGGACGCTGATGCAAGACGTTTACTTTGAAAACATTCATAAATGAAACCAAATAGAATTATTAGAATTCATTTAAAAATTTAGTGTAGGTTTAGTTTAATTTCACATACATAGGTACTGTGACGATAAATAGTACTGCAGCCGCGAATGCAAATGGTTGGTCATCGACCGAAAAGGCAACTGCACTCACTTTGGCCCTACGAGGAGATGCTGCAGCTATTCTTCAAAGAATATCACCCGAAGAGCAAGAGGTCTACGAACAACTAGTAGAACATTTGGAGATGCGATATGACCAGTCACATTTAGAACATGTCTACCATACTCAACTAAAGAATCGGTTCCAGACATCAGGTGAGTCCTTGCAGGAGTTCGAAGAGGATATTGCGCGGTTGGTACGATTAGCATATCCCAATGTTCAGGAAAGGATAATGGAGCGAGTGGCAGTTCAAGCATTCGTGGATGGACTTCGTGATGGTGAAATGACGCAAGCCTTACTACTGGTACATCCCCTAAGCTAATAGATGCGCTAACTCGGACCTTAGAATTCGACGCTGCTAAAAACACAAATAAAAGCCAGGTCCGAGTCCGCCAGATGGTACCAGGAGATAACGAGTTCGAAGAGTCCGTCAAGCGCATTGTTAAGGAACTTGATGGTGAACGTAGCCGCCAGAACAGCGAGTTGGAATGTGGAAAAATAGGGACGTTAGGAGTCGCTGCCTAGAGGATGGTAAGCATTGCCAGCGGGCAGAGGAGAAAGGTGCCCAAGTATTAAGAACCACTATCGTTAGTGATACTTGACAAAATGAAGACCTCACTAAATATCAAGAGGGCGACCCCGATCTCCAAATAATTCTAAACTGGATGAAAGAACAACGGAAACCAGCCTAGGAAGAAGTTGCCAAGTATTCCCCTACCATAAAATCATATTGGGCACAATGGAATTGTCTTGTTATGGACGATGGACTCTTACTGCGTAAAATGGTGGACCACGATGGCAAAGAGGAAAGAAGATAAATCGTTATCCCCAGATGTCGGATCCCGGAGCTGCTAGAAGAAATCCATTCCGGTGTGTCAGGAGGTCATCTCGGAGTTACAAAAACCCTGGGAAAAGTGAGGGAAAGATTTTGCTGTGTCAATAGCAAGGAGGACGTGGAAGACTGATGCAGGAAATGCGTTGTGTGTGCGGCAAGTAAGGGACCGCAAAGGAAACTAAAAGGTTCGATGCGCCAATACAACGTGGGGAGCCCCTTTGAAAGGATTGCTATTGATGTGGCGGGCCCCTTTCCAGAAAGTGAAGCAGGAAATAAATACATCGTTGTGGTAATGGATTACTTCACCAAGCGGGTTGAGACATACGCTCTGCCAAATCAGGAAGCCTCTACGGTAGCCGATGATTTAGTAAAGGAATGGATCTGTCGATTTGGTGTACCTTTAGTGTTGCATTCGGACCAAGGGCGCAATTTCGAGACAAATCTGTTCCAAAGTATCTGTCAGATCCTTGAGATTAAGAAGACCACGACTACTGCCTTACACCCGCAGTCAGATGGAATGGTGGAGCGCATGAATTGGACCATTAACCGGTATCTGACTAAGGTAGTCTCTAGCCATCAAAGAGACTGGGATAGTTTTCTTCACCTTCTTATTGGCTTACCGATCGTCGAGTTCTGAAAGCACAGGAGATACCCCGGCTCGAATAGTTATGGTAAGAGAACTTCATCTCCCATGCGATATAAAGTTTGGCTGTCCACCAGGAACTGGTATTGCCGGAGAAGACTACGTAAGTGAGCTGCGTAGAAGAATGGACGCCATCCATAGCCAGGTTCGTGTTTTAATTCAAAGTGCCAGCGTCCGGATGAAGGAAGCTTATGTCGTTAATGCCAAAGACCAGAGGTTTGACAACGATGATACGGTTTGGCTTTACGACCCAAAGAGGCGAAAAGGGCTGTCGCCTAAACTTCAATCATTCTGGGACGAGCCATATAAAGTTCTGGAGGCCATCAACGATGTTCTCTACAGGATTCAGAAGACACCACGCGGTAAATCCCGAATTATACATTTCAATCGCCTTGCACCTTATCATGGAAACGGCAAATCCAACCAAAACCGGACATGACATTTGATCAATTTATGGCTCACCATAAGAGTCAGTGTGTCTCAAGACTTGCGAATGTCGAGAGGTATAGCAAAGGTCTTTCTTAGGAAGTTTGAAAGACTGCACGAGCTGCGACAATCTAACCCGGAAGTCGGAGAAGTACTCCGGATAACTGAAGAGGGTACTAACCGAAATATCTATCTGGTTACCAAGAAAGCTTCTTATCAGAAACCGAATTACGAGGATGTCTGGAATGCTTTGTGTTCAATTAGAGAAGTGTTGCTTGCCGAGGACCTGAGAAAACTGGCAATACCTAAGCTGGCATGTGGACTGGACCACCTGGACCGGGGAATCATCCGAAGCATGCTTGAGGTAATCTTCAGGTATACAGTCATTCGGTTTCTGGTACGTTGTCGCAGTCCTGGACGGCTACCTCTTGGAAAGAGTGTGGATTGTTACTTCTTCAAGAACTCCTACTGCAAGAGAGAGCCGTCGTGCCGATATCGACATCCACCGCCAGTAAGATCATTCCGGGACGGAATGACTTTAGGGAGGTTGCAGTGTGACGATAAATAATACTGTTGGCGCCATCTGTTGGGCGAGTCTCCTACTCGCCAGAGCTTCATGGCCGATCTCTGCTTTTACGCGAACCACGACCGCACAAGCCGCTTGGCAGCGTCTGTGAGGACCGTGGCAGCGGCTTGCCTTCTAGATCGACGCGAAGTAACCTCGACTATTCGGGAAGGCCGCCATGTGGTTCCCGATTATTCTAGACTCAACGATGCGGACTATATAACTCGGCGGCCGGGAGATGGAAGAAAAGTACTGAATACGGTAGACTAGCAGAGTGGAGTGGAGTATAGTGCAGTCAATGGCGACATAAGAATTAATCAGACATAAATAGTGCTGTACATAAATGTTCTATCAAGTTAAATAAATTAGTGCATTTCTTTTTGTGGAAGAGGAAACTGTTAAATTTCACAAGCCTGTGTTATTGGTGCTTTGCTGCTGTATAAGTGCTGGGCTACATATGGTGCAAAAATAGCTTTTGAGAGTATAAATGGTACTACTGTCCTGGTCACCTGGTGCTGCAACCCAGTCATGTGTGATTTGGCGAAACCGAGATTGTTGTCCAATCCTTGAAAATACTTCATTGTATGTACAAAATTATCTTTATATAGCACAAGTCATATAGCTTAACGAATTATCTCTTATAGATTATGCGGTATGCAGGTGTACGAAGTAGAGAGAGACGTTTATTACAAAAAGGACAAGTATTGGGGTCGAGAATTGAACGAAAACGGCTTCAAGAATGCCTTATGTAGATTTTTTGACAATGGTTATGGACTTAGAGTGAATGTGATTCGCAGAGTTATCAAGAAACTAGAAGAACTGCGGAGAATTGTTGAGAAGCAGAGTTGTTACAGATTCTATTCTTGGTAAGTATACATCAAATCGTTCTAGGAATGTTCCCAAATTTATAGTTTATAACGGGTGTTTTTAGAGGTATAGAACTTTAAATTGCAATAAAACAACGATGGATTATTCGATTGACATGATTTTTTTTTAATCGAAAGATAATCTTGTGGCATTACATTTTAAATATGATTTCTGGCATATGACTGCCACGGCTGGCTCGGATATAGTCCAATCTGGACGTCCAATTTTCGATGCCTTTTTCCAACATTTGTGGCTGTATATCGGCAATAACATGGCGAATGTTGTCTTCCAAATGGTCAAGCGTTTGTGGCTTATCCACATAGACCAATGGCTTTACATAGCCCCACAGAAAATAGTCTAGCGGTGTTAAATCACAAGATCTTGGAGGCCAATTCACAGGTCCAAAAGGTGAAATTAGGCGGTCACCAAACGTGTCTTTGAATAAATCGATTGTAGCACGAGCTGTGTGACATGTTGCGCCGTCTTGTTGGAACCACATCTCCTGGACATCATGATTGTTCAATTCAGGAACGAAAAAGTTATATATATATATATATACCGATCACCATTGACTGTAACGTTCTGGCCATCATCGTTTTTGAAGAAGTACGGACCAATGATTCCACCAGCCCATAAAGCGCACCAAACAGTCAGTTTTTCTAGATGTAACGGTGTTTCGACATAGACTTGAGGATTAGCTTCACTCCAAATGCGACAGTTTGGTTTGTTGACGTAGCCATTCAACCAGAAGTCATCGTTAAACAAAATTCGCTTATGAAAATCGGGAACAATGGCAATCTCGTTTTGGGCCCATTCAACGAATCTACGCCTTGCTTGATGATCGCTTGGCTTCAATTCTTGCACAAGTTGGATTTTGTAAGCACGCAAACCAAGATTCTTCCGCAAAATCTTCCATAAAGTGGATGGACACAGATCCAATTCCTGTGCTCGATGGCGGATGGACTCATTCGGGTCTTCCTCAATGCTACGCTCTACAGTAGCAATAGCTTCTTCTGTACGCACCGTACGGCGTCTCTGGGATGCGAGTTACCAATTAGAGTAAACGTGTTGCGAAAACGTTCCATGGTTAATCGAATTAACTGCTCTGATGGACGATTTTGTCGACGATAAAATGGACGTATTTTCGGAATAAAACTGCACAATTCGCAAGCGTTGTTCAGGCCTGAGTCTATTCATGATGAATTGCCAAACCAAACTGAGAATAAATCACTTGACAGCTGTCAAATTGGTCGCCATCTTCAAAAGTAATGCCAACTTAAAGTTCTATAGCTCGAAAAAAACACCCGTTATAAGGTAGAATCAAAAATATTTCGAGAACAATTGCTCAAATAGACAGATTTTGAAAAATTAATTAAATAGTTTATATTAAAAACTGAATAGATACACAAATAGTTTGACTGTCTGCATATGAAGTAGCACATCTCTGTTAGATAATAAAATCTAATCTAAATTCTCTATTTTCTGTTACAGTTCTCTATTAATAGTTTACGAAGGCAATGTGGAAGTTCCCCAGATATCGATATCCTCTCCTCAACCTAAAAAGCCCCCACTCTATTTTGACTTAGGATCTCAGTCAGCCTCATCAGAAGTTCACTACTGCTATGACGCTGACACCTCCAATTCATCAGCGGAGCTTAACTGCCCGGTAAGTATTTTTCACATTGAAGATAATAGTACATCACATATCTTGATGGAGAAGTATGCTCATATTATTGGCCGAGCACCTTGATATCCTATAGCGCTGTAGTAATCAGTTTTGTAGGGGAGTAAACAATCTGAACAGTTTCTTTCTCATTACGTTTTTGACTAAATTGTAAAATGTGTGTTATTTCGTGTGCTGAAGCTCCGCATGGGACAAAGCCAATCGCTGCCAAGAACCTATACGAGCGAAATTACAATTTTTATTTTTTTGTTACGCTGTTTGCAGCATCATTGACGATATATTACCACATTCCACTTGATTAGACTTACGGATATAGCATATCTGTTAACTTCCTTAACGTTCGATAACAAGTCAGATAAAGCTGTTTCAATATGTTTGCATCACAAAACGGTGCATAGGAGGGTAACACTTCCGCAACATGATAGTGTCGGATAAAGGGAGTCGCAACGTACGTCGACATCATTAGTTTTCCACTCATTTTAAATAATGGGACAAATAAATTCATTTGGAAACAATAATTTCATTAGTAAAATAGACTCTGCAATTACTTGTAGTAAACAAAAATGTTTAGTCATATTTAAAAATAGATAAAGGGCTTAATAGCAATTACATTTCTGTGCCCAACAAGCCAAATAAGCTCTACATGAATGCTTACATTCCTTATTAGGATTTTTTCATTATGATTTTTTACCAAAGATAGAAATGTAACGTCTTCTTTGACGAGTACGGTAAATAATGGCATTTCGCAAGTTAATAGTGAAAAAAATCTATTTGAAATACAAGTGGTTTGTCAAAGCTCCACCCTAAACCCATATATTATGATAATATTTATATTATATTATTATTTATATATGTTGTTCAATTAAATTACAAATGTTTCAGGTGAACATGAAAATAACATACAAATAAATATGAAATATCCACAGAAGGCATAGCCTGTGCGTGGTGAGATGTCTATCCAGTATTCAGTCCAAATGGGGTATAATTGTCATTATAGGTTCAATAGTCATAATCCGGTGTTGACGAATCTGAGAATGGTATATTAGGAAAAGTTCAGTAGTTTTACATTTGTTTTAGCTGAATGCTTGGATACTTTTACAGAAACTTTGAAAAGAATCCCTTGACAATTTGTTCTAGTTTTTTTAAAACTCCATAGAACTACGATGTTTTAAGGTAATATACAAATGATTATAAAGCTTCGGTCCTAGGTATTGGAACGAAATGAACAGAAAGATCCCTAGGTCTTCTGATGTATACCACTCGATGTCTACACTAAGTGCAGATATAGATGTCACCACCATTGAAACGGTCGAAACCGTCAAGTAGTCGGAATACTGAATATTCACAAAGTGATCAGGCTATGGCATTCTCTGCATTTATGCATAAATATGCAGAGGCTGAACTGACTGAATATGCTTGCTTTCCATCTCTGTAACCATGGACCAACCGTAGACAGTGCTGTCTCCAAGACTAGAGCTACAGGGAAAACTAAATTTATCTGATGGCTTGAGTTCAATGTCTACGAGAGAGAAGCGCGAGAAGTATGTACCAACACATGTTAGAAAGAGATAGAAGTCGGCTGAAGAACGAAGGTCATCACCATTGCCTAGCGACGATAACGCAGACGGTCGTGCAATCTACCGTGTTGCCAGTATGTTACATCAAAAATGTTCGCACAGGCTTCTACAATAGGTTAGGTTACTGTCAAACGTAAGGAATTCATTATTTTAATTTTGATGCGACGAAGTGTTTTAATTTAGAATTATCTTTGATTTCCTCCGCAGGTGGTAAATTCAACACATCCTGAGTTATTCTTACATTCTGCGCCCGCGAGCGGTCAGAAACTGTAACAAATACCATTACGCAATACAAATTTTCACTGTCTACGTGTACGCAGGTGAAAACCATTTCAAAGTAGGACGACACTTCCCAATGAGCGGTAGATGGGTACTGACCAAAATCTATGATCATGGAGGTGGAAACGTTGCCTTGGATGCGGTGTTGCCAAGTGAACCAAAGATGCAATGTTCCAGAATTTGTGGCGATCCTGACCTTTCATTTCGACCAAAAATGGAGCGCCGCTTGAACCGATCCGGAATCGAACCTAAACGAATTCGACACAATTCACAATTCAAACATGTGTAACGCTCAAAATAAGACCATTATTTGGGCGCAGAGAATAAACTACCCCATATTTCGTGCATCTTAATTCAACGATTTGGTGTAACATATTGGCAACGCGACTGGCCTTGTCAGCGTTGCGCTGCTTCGCTATCCTGGCGGCTTCAATCTCTTTCTAACATATGTATCTATACACACTTCTCTCTCGTACACATTGAACTCAAGCCGTCAGACAAATTTGTTTCTTAATGTATATGCCATACTGATGAGTTGTTAAAGAGCACGAAACAGCACTGCCTGTGGTTGGTTGTGGTTACAGAGATGGAAATAAAACACATTCAAATCAGCCTGAAGGTAATGTTGATTCAAAAAGTCCTGCTCGGTACTACGAGCTTATCGAGACATTCATTAACACATCAGCGCAAATCCTTGAAAGATGCGTTGAATTTTTGAACGAATTTTTATGACCATGTAAACTCGACACACACAGCGAAACGTTATCACTAACAATCGGATTGCATAGCAATAGTTGTCAGCGCAGTGCACGTTTTTAATAGTCCGTTTGCCTCGGCAACCGAATGAAAATGAGCCGCCAGGATGTTATGCTTAATGAGACGGATGCGCATTATGCCATGATACTGTCGGGAGTTGCAGTGCTGTGTATTTGAAGGGCTGTGCTAGTTCCATAGGGTTTTAGTGAGTTTCAAAGGATCTCATACAAAAATATTGTGAGGATAACAAATAGTACTGTTGGCGCGATCTGTTGGGATTCTCTCCTACTCGCCAGAGCTTCATGGCCGATCTCTGCTTTTACGCGGACCACGACCGCACAAGCCGCTTGGCGACGTCTGTGAGGACCGTGCCACGTCAAGATTAATAAATTAGTGCATTTCTTTTTGTGCAATCCAGTGTTTTAATCCACACTCAAAAGAACCCAGAAAAACGCTACAAAATATAGGATAGGACAACTCTTATCGAGTTTTCCTGCCTTGGAGCTTTCCCTTTTCTAAATATCTAACTCTCAATCTTACCTTTTACAGGACGACACTCCTCATGCCAACTCCACGTTCTACCCTATATCCGAAGATACCGTATTTCTGGACTCCCCTCCTCCCACAAACGTGGCCACCTCCAGTCCACTCTCTATCGGCAGTTGGATGAATTACAGCAACAGTAGCAGTGAGGAGTACTCTTTGCCGGAGCAGCTCAACGTCTCCAGCTCTTCCAGTGAAGACACATCGGATTCGGAGCCGAGCGGTTCTCAACACGGTCGAAAGAGGGCTTGTGAGTTGCAGTTCACCATGGAGGACGAGGATGATGACGAGTCGCTGCCTGGGTTCAAGAACGTTCCCAAAAAGTGAGGTTGAATTGAATTTAAAGTTTTTATCGAGATACAAGGTCTGTAAATTAGTAATGAGACTGATAACGTAGCGTTTGATCTGGTAACACTGGATGCGTCGTGCCTGGAGGGGAGACAGAGGAACATGTGATCTGCCGTCAGTACAAGTTTTAATTCACTCGAGTCACTTAGTTGTCCGTAGCAATTTTTTTCTGAAACATTTCAATTTCGAGCAACGGTGTGCTATCAGGTTTTGATGTAGTCTTGGGCACAGTGTAACAGAAACCCTTGCTAGACTCAAGCAGGTCTACGGAGATAGTTTTCGGTGGTTTAAGGCATTTTCAGAAGGGAGAGAGTCGACTGAAGAGTAAGCGGAAGGCCTTCATCTTCAAGGACCGAGTAAAATATCGAGAGAATCCTGGTTCTTATGCGTTCAGATCGTCGGTTGGCAGTCAAAATAATCGGGTAAGAGTTAAACTTGGCTCACACCACCGTTCATCAGACCAATAAAAAGTGGGTGTTGCACCACGCTAATGCACCTTGTCACACAGCAATGTCAATAAACGAGTTTTTGGCCAGTAAAAACATTCCCGGGGCTCCTCAGCCTCCTTATTCGCCTGACTTGAGTCCTTGTGACGTTTTCCTCTTCCCTAAAATTAAAAATCATCAGCATTTTAGGACAGTCAACAGCATTCATACAGCTATAACCGATCAGCCGAAGGCTATTCCAGTATCGGAGTTCCAGCACTGCTATGAGAAGTGGAAAAACCGTCTCCAGCGCTGTGTCTTCAGAATTATGTTATTTTGAGGGTGACAATATAAAATTGTAGTTATATTTGAATAGAAAAATAAAAAAAAAGTCTCGGTACTCAATTTATATTCCTCGTAGGAGTCAATTAAACTGCCACAATACTTCTCACGCATACACTAGAAACCAAATACCACTGACTTCGTAATGCGCACGAGAGAGAATCTCAAGAAGCGTGCAATACGTTTGTTAGAAAGAGATTGCCCAGCAACCCGAGTACGAGGTCACGGATGCCATCGCCGTACTCTTTCTAACGTACATATTGCACGTTTCTCGCTCTTCTCTCGTACACATTACGACGTCAGCCAAATATGAATCTCACCGTATATTAATCTATTTGCGAATTACTTAAACAAATTTTGAATATTGCAAGATAACTGATGATAAAAATTGAACGAATTTTTGAAAATTAAACGTACCCATACATCTTAAGCGTCATTATTGATATCTACAATACGAGGAACTTGAATTTAATTTTTTTTACTATGCTATATCTGATGAGACTTAATGCATTTTTGATTAATACATAACTCTCTACAAATAACATCTTTGACCACTTCCAAAAGCTATCAGGGTGAATAAGCATAACTAACCGTATACAATTTGGTTTCATGGTTTTTAACAGTCATCAGTATGGTACAGGTTCAGTGATTTGGACAGATGACCGAAAGCAAACAAGCGAATTTGAGTCCACTGAAAAACTCAGTATTGAAGGGTGCGAAAAATAAAGGTGGAGAGACAACTGCTACATTTTTGCCTATTTGAATAGAAAATGATATTCCGAGTACAATGATGCTGCATTTGCTAGCTTTTGACATCTAACTGCCAAATACATATAATTTTTTTATTTTTAATCCATTGTGCCATGAATATGATATAATGGTAATTTTTTTCATTAGTTTATCTATGGCGTTACCTCATTTTTTATCAAAAGATGACTCATTAGCACAGCTACAAAGGAATTATCGTATCGTAAATAGTTATTTTTAATAGAACAATTCTATTAGTAACGTAATAAACATAATTTTTCAAAACTTTCAATCTTCAGCAAAATGAGGCACTTCTAACTAAATTGTATAATCAAGAATTATTGAAATATGTCTTAATTTTTCTGCCCAATAAATACTTTTTAGTTTATTAAATGATTAAATTGTTTTGCGAATTACATTTTGAAGATGCATTGGTGTAATACTATTAAGGGTCTCCCTTACTTTGTTTTCCAACTCGTGTCGCTGACGTTGTATATTTTAAACCTCGTTTTTAGATTTTTTCCCATAAATGAAAATCTAGGGGTGTTAGATCGGGTGATCTAAATATTTGAATAAACAAAAGATAAAGATCTTCAATAATCAGTTCTACCTCCAATTATATCTAACTGGTCCATTATTTAGAATCCAGTTTTCCCTTTAGGTATTATTATCACGCGCGCGTTGTGGGGCGGAGCGCCATCTTGTTGATAATGTATCCAATGTATTTTTTAACAAGGGCACTTTATCCAAGAAATTTTCAATTTTGCGAGAAAGAAATTGCAAATATTGGATGACGGCCTTCGGGGAATCTTTCTGCATAAATTCTAGCAGCTTGTACGGCGTCTTGGCTGCATTCTCTAAAAATAAGGAGCACGTCAACTTGTTCGCTTCTTGTATAGTTCTGCGTGATTAATTATCAAACTAGGAAAAACAGACAGATGCTAACGTTATAATGTATTAATTCCTTAATAATTTATTTGGGAATCTGACAGATTCATGACAAAAACCACCTTAGATTTCTGTCAACGCTGCCGATGCCGGCTACGGCTGGTTGATGCTGTTATAGCAAAATGAATAGTAAGGTAATTAATGTCGATGTTTCTGAAATACTTCTAACTAAAATATCGTTTGTGTATCAAATTATGGGTAAAAAATAATCTTTTTTCGATATGATAATCAAATCCAATTTTCTGTGACTGATTAGTCCGAAATTTACCATTTTATCAAATTCATGGCACACTAGATTGAAAATTATATATTTGTAAGATATATGTCAAAATGTAGCAAATGCAGCGTCATTGTAGCTATTCGGAATGTCATTTTCTATTCAAATAAGCAAAAATATACCAGGTGTCCCATTGAAACTAATAAACTTGAAGTCATTTCCGGCTAGACTGGATGCAAAAGAAAACAGTTGAATACGTTACACAGTATCTTTAAAAATAAAAAAGTCATAGGGGTGAGCCGCCTGCTAGGGACACCCGTTATATTGCCTCGCGCTCGCACCTACGACAGATTTGCAATGTGTCTGGCACAATGTAAAAACCATTAAAACTGTCCGACTACATCTTTGGATAGCTCTCCGAGTAACTTATATTTTCAGCTTTTATACTATGACGAAAGTTTAACTATAATTTATTAAAGTTTAGGGGGTGTCTGGCAGGGGGTTGAAACTGTACTGTCCGGAATGGCTGAAACTGGGCTTTATATCTTAACGGATTTGAGATACTGTTTTATACTTGTTTGTTACCCGTTACCTGCCAAAGTAACCACTATCCAAATTTCATAGCCCCTGATCGTTATTAGCTCGGTTGGGGACATGCTCAGAGAAACTTTCATGTTTTATAAAATAATGAAAGTCTGGCCATCGCGGTCTAAAAGTTCTTTTTTCGCTCACAATTCCGCAGTCATTGGACCCTCATTCAAAACTTTCAAAGCCTTTCCGTTCTTGACAGAATAGTAATCCAGTGTCAAAATTGTAGGAAAATATCACTGCTACTTTCTGAGTTATGCAGATTTCAATGATCATTGGATAGACAGACAATGCTTCGCAATTACAGTATGTCTCAAGCTTATGAATGGGATGTGAGTGTAGATTGTATTCGTATCATTTAAGTTCTACATTCGTAACATCCAATACTTTCCATGAGCTCTAAATTAAATGTTTTTTAGTTAGAGGATGGTTTAGGTTTAGGGGTCACTTCTCTGATAGTACTAACTCAGTTATCTTTTTACCAGTTACAGATTGACAGTACCTGGGTCATCGTTCCTACAGTCCAATTCGGAGATCGATGTAAGAATAATCGATTTTGCTCACACGTCTTTTGCAAGAAAGAGTGATCTCAATTGCCAAGCTGTTCATGAGGGACCTGATGGCGGATTTCTTACAGGAATTGACAGTTTGAAGAGACTGCTGTCTGAGATACTCGCGACTGTGGAACAGTGAAGGTAGGCATTTTGGCTGTTACCTACTTCTTTAGATATTTATTCCAATAATTGAAGAACATTACCGATTCTCTTAGGAACCGTTCTCACTGAAAGTAACTGACATCCGCAAATCAACACGTATTCAAATAAAAACGTTCACACCAAAAAGACGGGAACGCGACCAGTTGTTCGATGGTTGCTGAAGTTGCCTTCGCTGGTTGACCTGCAGTTGCACACCAAGAAAAGGGCTGTCATCATCTAAATTATGATGCCGGACAAAAGTTTCAAAAACCTCAGAATATTGTTTAAAATAAAAATAAAAACATCGTTGCTATTTTCAATTTTTTTATCAATATAAACACCTGATTATTGTTTTATTTAACAATGCTTGACAAAGATGACAAAATCGACTTAAGCTTGCAGAATAACAAATGTGATGTTCAAAACAATACTAATAAAATTATACTCGTCTCTTTTTGAGGTAATCTGGTAACAAAAATATTTAGGAAGACTTTTTTGGCAACACATATATGAAAAATGATCAGGAAGTAATATGGAATCGAGAGCGAACACAGTTTCTACGAAAAAAAAATGCAAAATAAGTTAATTTCATTCTAGAGATGTAATTGATCAATGTACGTGCCCTACTCCTCATTTAGAAATAAACATAAAGTAAATTTACCTGACAACTTGACTTAACTCTTCAGTCATTAGTGCTCCTACGCATGACACTAGGTGCTAATATTTTGTGGTAGACCGAAATGAGGGGTGGGTACGTTCGTATAATAAAACATGTGTTATGTGTTGCTCGTCATGTTGCAACTATATTCGAAATGTTCAAGAGGTAAGTAAGTATCTCTGCTGGTCGAATGCGTGATCGATCCTCCGATGCACGAGCTGACTGACCTTGGCGAATGCTTAGATGCTAATGCATCGATGATTCATCACAGACACAGATTCACTTTTTCACCGGCTTGGTATTCGAGCCGGATGAAAAGAAAACGCCAGATTGTATGACTACGCACACGCACTGCGATAACGTCGCTTGGCTGGTTATACAGGGCGGTACTAATGTGCTTGTACAGAGTGATGCGGGTCCTTGTACTGGGGTGTACGACAAAACATTTTTTTAATCACTCATCTTACATTTCCTACCTTCTGGACGGCCCCTGGATGTCGTCTGAACTAGCACAAATCATTGGCATCCGGCACAGGCATTATGTAAAAAAACCTATAAAACGTTAAAAAACCCATAAGATGTCATCATGCTGACTAGGTAGTTTTTAGGGCGCAAACAGTCATTCCACGTTTGCTCACTAGGATCGTTGTCAACGTCCATCTATGGAGGAATCACTCAACTAAACTACACGCATTGTTGGTTGCATATGTTTTGTGAGGCCCAGTGATCTGTAGTTTTTATCTCTGAGAAGAAAGTTGGTTGAATAGCAAGATCGCATCTGGATGATTACGTGTATTGGTGTGCATATGTTTAAAATCAGTGATATTTGCTGTGTGAGGAAATCATTACTGAATATGCTGCCAATGAAGTATATCTATTAGCTGTGTCCGACGGGTTATTTATATTTGTTATTTCTGAAGACAGGTTATGTTCAAAGTTATAAATTACGAACAACTTTGAGGAGAATTACGAGAAATCATCACCGCCCCCGCGTTGTGTGTAATTACTGTTAGCATGTATATGACTTGTAATTCGATAGTGTACAGTGAATATAATTATTTTTTACCTCTCTCATTTTTGATATTCAACCAATTTCTAGCTTTGAATCTCACACACATACAACTTACAGCTTACACCTCTAGTAGTGCCATCTCTGGAGCAGATTTTACATCACATCAGAGCCAAACATTGATATCTGAAGCCTCATGGCGTTTAGGCAACACGTACAACTAAGTGATACGTTAACATCTTCTTTATTAATTTATTAATTGATTATCCTTTTGTACGCTTGCTAATCAATGTAATGTTCTTCGAACTTTGACTGTTGACTACAAAAACAAAAATGTTGATTGTTGGTTACGACTTTGCCTTTTCTGCGTCTATAATTTGTAACGGTATTGCCAAGTGTGATTAACCATCAAATCTTTAACATCGGGAATATTCGGATGGCTTTTTAAATTATACTGTGAAAAGATGCATTTATAGTTTGGTGCAGTTTGAATTAATCTAGCACGCATTCATTGCTTTGAGACAGGTCAGATTGACAGATAGGAAATTTTCTAAGGGAAGTTGATATTTTGCATTAAAATAAATTGAGTCCGATGGTAGTGCCGATACGAAACAGGGTCGTCTTTAGGGTGGAGAAGGTGAAGCAAGGCCTAAATCGCGCCAACAAATAAGTTGGTTGAATGAAAATAATATAATAATATACAGATATAACGTATGGCCTAAAAGTTTTGGCACGAAATTCATTGGCTTTAATTTTAACAAGCACAAAATAATATCAAGGCCTTTGGAACAAAATTTTGTTTAATTAATTAGATATTTATTTATTTTGAAGTTTTCGCTTTAAGATATATAAATTACAAATTAGAAAAAGTATCCACAAGTTGGTTGAGCGGGTACGCAAAGCCGAAATTTGTCGAATATTCCAGAATGAAAACATTTTACGAAGGACTATTCATCAAACAATAGCAGAGTACGAGCAGGGAATACCATGTCTCATCTCCGAAAAAGTGGACGACCGCGTGCATTTACTGCACAAATGTCAGAGAGATTGGTGAGAAGAGCAAAAAATCAGGTTGCAATGTCAACAAGGAGACTGGCTCGTCAATACAGATCTTCTAAGCGTACGATATCGTTGGAATCGAGGAGGAATGGTCTTAAATATCGAAAGAGACTTAAGTGCCCCAAATACTCTCAAGTGCAACTTCTTCGTATAACAAGATGCGGTCGTCAGTATTGAGGTGGGTACACTTTGCCAATGGAAAAATCATTATTTTAGATGACGAAAAGCATTTCACTTTGAGTAATTCTAAAATGAAGGGAAACGATGGATTTTATACGGACAACGTAGAGGAATGCGCTGACAATGTTAGTTACAAACATAAAGCGAATTTTGCAGATAAAACCCTTGTCTGGTACACTGTTTCAAACAGGGGTGTATCCCGAACATTTGTGGGAAGAGTAAGGGGTGAAGCTTTGAATAGTCAGAGCTATATTGATAACTGCCTTTCCAAATTGCTTCAGTTTGTCCATTAACATCATGCTAATGACTATATGATGTTTTGGCCAGACCTAGCATCATGCCATTACTCAAGAGATACCCAAAACTGGCTTCGACAAGTTTTGTTCCCGAAAACGACAATCCTCCAAACTTACTGCAGGCTGGCCCAACAGAGGAGTTCTGGGCTTTGCTGTCTATGAAGGTTTATGATGGAGGCTGACAAGATGAACAATTAACTCCACATATTTCGATAGTTTTAGTTTAGTTAAGTATTGAATTGTAATTTATGATAACTAGTTAGTGTTTAAATAAATTTCTTCATTAAAATAAAATCCGGTAAATACTTTGTGCCTAAACTTTTGGGACATACGTTACGTGCCTAAAATATCTGTCTGACTACTCTCGCAATATGTTAAATTATTGATTAATTACAAAACCCACGAACGAGATAATCATGACCAAAAGAATGCAAAACATCGTTTGATAGTAGCGGCGGGTCCGGGGTGACAGCTTCCCGAACCCCGCGCATGCCGGTGGGTGACTCATGCTTGGCGACGCGCTGCCACCACCAGATTTTTTATACGAAATTATTTATTTCCTGGCAGGCCTAAATTTCATTATAATTTCTCTAATGGTTCATTGCTTGAAAAATTGAAGTGGAAGAGTTTTGAGCATAGTCATAAATCATATTTCTTTCGAACCCTGGCAAATGAAAAAAAAACACGTAAATAATTGGCGTGTTTTGAGATGAAATGACTTCATCAAAAAAGCTTGAAAACTTTTTTGCAAGAGAATTTTAAACATTTTTCGGAGTAGACCACTTTCTTTAAAAAAAGGCCTCGCAAAAATGTTTTACTCCAGGCCTCGCATCTGCTCATATGATCTATGTCTTGATCTTTTTTAGGGCAAACAATCATGCAATGATGGAAAACTTCTTAGAACTCCGGTCCCATTTTGCAAGACACTGAAGGTAAAACAACCTAGGTCTGGAAGGAACACCCTAAGGATTCGAACAACAGAACTACGAACATCTCATTATAATGTTGCTAAAATAACATAGCACACTGATGCAGTTTATTGTTTCTAAGTTTTATGAATCCAAAATTCATAGATATGAATAATAGAAATGCAATCTTGGATTTGCTGCACCATTTGTATAGCATTAAATTTTGGTTTCAAATAAATTAGCGTAACTTTTTTCTAGTCTGGAGGCATGATAATGAATTGGTCAATTCATCATCAAAGTTTTTGGTCACGTACCTATCACTGGCCTGCGTATTCTGTATTCTGTAACATTCAAGAGGCAAGGCTGTTACAGATGCTTTAATAGAAGAAATGTCTTCGATATTAAAATACCTTGCGAGATATTGACATTGGAAGAACATGTGCCAAGCATTTTGGCCACATTTTCCGTAATTTTTGTCACAAATATTGATTGATTTGACGTATTGGCGCTACAATCATACACTTATTCAATCTGTCGAAAGTATATGGAATAGACTTCACTAATTGATGACATATTCGTATACTTAGAAAGAAGTTTTAAATATGTCTTCCAACAGTTTGAAGACTCTTACTCGTACACCCAAATAGTTCACATTCTTAATAAGTTTTAAAAAATAATCAGTTTACAACAAGCTCAGTATTTATAATAATCAAATATCCTAGAAATGACATCAGTTCACTTTCGGTATCTTAAATTACTCCTATTTTTTTACTCATCGTATTATAAAGGCAAATCCCTGAAATATTTTTCTATTCATTCAATCAGTTTTGTCTGCTACTTTGTTATGGATCCAGCAGAGGGTTTCACAAATACCGATATGTAAACGTCAACTTTATTTCTGACATTTATCAGACATTAACGTTTTGTTCTCCCCAACAATGATGTTCTGGTTGACTGAAACGGTCATTTACAGCATACAAAATGAGTCCATTATGTAACGAGGAATAAATTCATTGTACGAAAGAATAAATTGACTTAATGTCAAATTAGGTAATCGCTAATGTTTACGTATGCAGTATTTTTGCTCGTCAAAACTCTCTAATATCATTGAAGTTGATGTCACTTGCGTTTTCCAATTCCCTTTCATTTTTTTTTGTGGTGACAGTAAGTGAATTATCATATAATAATCACTAACAGTAGAAAACTATCCTCCAAGCTCATTATATACCGGAATATATTCGAACAGATTGCTGAATTTTTGTAACTAATTCAGGAAATGAAAAACGGTATTTCCAGTTTAGAGGTTCCACTCGTTGGCCGCCATCTAAGGAACAACATATGTTATTTTCAGCATTCTACCATACTGAAACACCGCAAGAACTGAAACAATCACATTTTTGTTTGAACACAAGAGAATGTCCATAACAGTCCCATCTTTTTGATTTGACATATAACTTTACAGTAGTTGATACTCAGTGTAAGTCTCTACTTTGAACAGTTTGTTGGTCTTTTGATTTTAACCCTAATGGATTTATTGAAATGACGAGCTAAAAGGTATAGTATTGTAGCAAATGGGTAAGAAGAAGGCATATGGCAGAAACATATTTTTTTAGAGCAGTGAAGATACATTTCGGGAATAGACATATTTATTTTTTATGAATTATGAATATATTATGAATTTATGAAAACTTAACGTAACATGGACTTACTTACGTTTAAGCCTGCATGAATTAAGCATATTTCTTTTTACTTCGAAAAGAACAGATCCTGTTATGGTTCTTTTATGTAACAAAGGGTAACTTTTTCAATGCGAAAAGTATACAGCAATATTTTACCTGAAGAACTTCATTGTATTTGTTTATTAGTCTTAATGTATTGGGCATTGCACTTGTCAAATAGTGTTCGTAAACTTTCTTTTTTAGTCTTCCATAGACCACTAAGCAGCTAATCACCTATATTCTTTCGAACTAATCAGAGTCATAGAGATGATCCATGGTACAGAGGTTCTGTGATTTGCCAATTAACAGAGGTTTCGCTAGCCACGGATGGTGGTGTGCTTTCTCGAACCCTTTGTTGACTGGTAATCCAGATAAGAATTGCTTATTCCGAATCCGATTTTATATATAAGAAATTATCATCCATATCATTTTGATTGTTCAAAAAAATACAGCTATTGTTATCGGATCCCAAAATTCACACCTTGTATAAGGTAAAAAATACGCGTGTACTTATTTTGATCATCAAAATATAGGAACACGGTAATTCTGAATGAATGCAAATTAGCTACAAAATTTCACTCCTAATGTACCTAAAATAATACATGACACCACGAACGAAGATGGCTGGAAGTATAATATAGTTTATCCAACAGACACTTCATCAACTAGGGGGAGATAACTTCTTGGCAGACACATATTTTTCAAAAATTTAATACACTTTTTGAGAATACTAATACATATATTTAGACGTAAAGCTGTGTAAAACCTGCCAATTTGTAAATAGTATGAGGAAATTTGATTTATTTATTTCTTTATACTTCCAAAATAACAGTATTTTTCTTTAGTTCCCATATGCAACAAGAAAGGCAAAACTACCTCTTCTGTGAATCGGAAAATTTTATTAAAAATCATATATTCCATTCATTATATGGATTTATCATGCAAAAATAAATTCAATAAGATACTATACTAAGTGACATATAAATCCGAACACCCAGTTTAAATGGTTTTATTTTAATAAAAGTTGGTGAATGTATTTATCTTACTGTAAATAACAAGTGAAAAAATGTTCAGCCTTATCAGTTGGACATTCCGGTTTTTATACTGCTTTCTAATTCACTAACGCTCTAAAAATGAATATTTCAGCCGCAGTAAAGAATCAACGTTGGCGGATTTTGGTTCTTGACATCCTTTACGATCGGTTACGATGCCTAGAGTACGGAGACCTGTACGATTTCGTCAACTTAGTGAGTTTGATAGGGGCCGTATAGTGGGACTTCGGGAAGCTGGACTTTCTTTTCGGGCAATTGAAGTTAGAGTGCAAAGAAGTGTAGACACTGTGGTTAGGTGTTGTCAGGCATGGCTTCGAGAAGGCCGTACGCAAAGAGCAAGGGGCACTGGACGCCGCCGTAGAACAACAGACCGTGAAGATCGCCGCCTAAGATTATTGGCCTTAAGGGACCGTTTCTCCACTACCAGGTCCATTTTGGCTTGTTTTCATACCGGCCACACTGGGTCCTCCCTTTAACTCGAGAACACCGACGTAATCGCCTTGAGTGGTGCAGACAACGGTTACTCTGGGATCAGGAATGGAACAGTATTGTCTTTAGTGACGAGTCTCGATTTTGTTTAGGCATGCACGATAGTCGTGCCAGGGTTAGAAGGCGACGTGGTGAAAGGAGGAATCCACAGTTTTTTGTTGAAAGACATGTTCATCACACAGTTGGAGTTATGGTTTGGGTCACCTTTAATCTTCATCAGAGGTAACATGAACGCGCAGCGTTATATCCACGAAGTTCTAGAACCCCATCTTTTACCCTATCTTGACACCCTGGCAGATCCAACTTTCCAACAAGATAATGTCCGACCACATGTTGCAAGAGTCACAATAGACTTCTTTCAACATAATGATGTCACATTGTTACCATGGCCACCAAGATCTCCCGACTTATCCCCTATTGAGCACGTGTGGGATATGATGGGTAGGAGATTGCTCAATTTGCAACGTCCTCCTCAGACTCTAGAAGCACTTCGAGAGGAGTTGGTGGTTGCCTGGAATGAAATACCACAGGAGGACATTGACCACCTGATCAGAAGCATGCCTAGGCGCATTGGAGAATGCGTAGCACATCAGGGTGCATCCACACATTATTAAAGGTCAAAGGGCTTTAAAGCAGTGCAATCATTTTGAAATTTTTATCATTTACTTATTATGCTTCATTAAGTACTTATACAAAATTTTATTGAAATAAAACCATTTAAACTAGGTGTTCGGATTTATATGTCACTTAGTATATTTTCGTGCACTCCGATTCATATTCATTGATTCATTGACTTTATTACTGCATTTATGTTATATTTAAGAAAATATTAGAAAATAGTGTATTTGATTTAGATTTAAAATCTGTGATTTTTGTACAACTTTTACTGCAAGAATGTATGATTTCTAGACACATTCCAAAATTTGTGGATAACTTTAAATAATTTGACATCTGCTTATATAATGTTGCGATATGAAAATTTTATATTGACTTGGGTCATGTACTGTTTATTCAGTTACTTGGGTATATATGAATTAGCAGTTTATATAAAATTATGAATCTATCACATCAAGCTCATTGGTAGCTGATCTACATTTTTTGAATAAGACTTTACTGACGTTCCGAAGACTTGGAGGCAAACTGTCAAGAAAACGAAACGCCAGAAAAAAGTTGTGTTTTCCGTGATTTTGCCGTGTTACATTGAAGTATCGGCTACATGATGTTTCATAGGTTTCATTGACTGTGAATTTTTGATATTAAGATGTTGCAAAAGGAATGAGATTTAAAAAATGAGCGCACAAATCCAATCAATTTTCACTGTCATCCGTAGCAACTATTTTAGTAAATCTAAGAGATAATCAAAAATTCCATCTGTGAAAATGTTTTAATCAATAGAATAATTTTAAATTATAGTTATAGACTTTTTCGTTCTCAATCATTTTCTAGCTATTCACAATGAGGATAGTATTTACCTTACATGAATCACCTTCCATACTTATAAAATTTCAGCCATTTAGTTGAAACAAATTTTAGAGAGATGTTTAGAAATTTTGAAGGACTATTGTTGTTAATTTTTAAATTTTTACTGAGCATATGGAACCTGTGGTTCTGTATCTACTATGTATATAGTTTAAATTGGAAATAAATACGTTTTTGTATTTTACACGAGTCTATTATTTGATCTTTTCGGCCAGCCAATTCATACGTTTTCAAAATATTGAATGTACACAACGTATACTCTAGGAACCTGCTGTATTTATCCTCTCGTGATTTTTTTAGGATAAGAAGATACAGCAGGTGCAACTTTTGCCTATATTAATTTATGCCCCAACTTCCTAACAGTTATATATTTAATGCCTTACAAGTTCCGATAGTAACATTGTATAAATTTGGGTTTGTAGTACGAAAAGTCAAAAGTGCGCTTTTCTTGATGTGCTCAAAACCTTGGGAATAAGAGTGTTGTCACTTGTTATTCACGTGGTTCACTGTTTGTTTACTTTATTTGGTTATCAAAAATTACTCGAAATTGGCAGAGTATATATTATTCAGGATAGATGAACTACCAGAGCTGCTTTACAGTGGTTTTTGGTTTGAGAGCGATATGCTGTCCAACTGCCCTAGAAAGTGTATGTGGGAATAGAAAGGACAGTGGAAATATATTGGTGATGAACATTACTGAGTCAGTTCGAGTAACTTAATTGGGTCACCGAAAAGCAGCACTGGTATCTATAGCGTTTCTCGTAATAGATATAATGGTCACAAAAAACGTGGTTAGAAATTCGTCGGCTGACATCAAGTGTCATTACATGACTAATAATTAGAGCGTTCTAAAAATAAAATTTCTTGGAATTTTAAAGCAAAATTTCGTATGTCAGTCTACATTCTATTAATGTGTACGGTATTTCATTACCAAATGACTTAAGACGTACTCCAACTGATAGGAGCAATTCGAACAAAAAGACTTTAAAAATGCCGGCAGTTCCGGTTGTACCGAAAGTATGTTAGATACCAACTTGCTTATTCTAAATAAAACATCCTGTTTCCATTCCATTCCATTTTCGTCTAAGTTTAACCGTCCCACGATTTCCGTTATGTCCAAATGGGAGTTATCTTATGGTAAATACCTTATGGAGCATTCAAGCAATAGAGGAGAAACAAAGTATATACCAAAGTATCCTCATATTCAGTGCTTAAGACGATGAAATTATAAAAAGGTGGTTTTCATTTGAAAAGACAGACCTTTTGGGTTTTCCAAAATCTAATTTTTATCCTATTTTTTACTACCGTGTACTATTCGTCATGACAAAGCGGACTAAAACCTGTCAAAGTAGGTCCCTTCTATAAGAAACTCGTTATAAATCAAATGGTAAAGGGAACAATACGACAAAAATTGTTATAATTCGCGTTAAAATTTAGAAAGACGATGAATTGCCTAAATAGGATTTAATGCATTTAATTTTTGCCTTTTGTACATGATATCATCACAACAATTGTTCAAAATGTCTTCCTCCAACCTGAATACACCGTTCCTGTGGGGACATGTAAAGTCTTTGGTTTACGAAACTCCAGTAGAAACAGACTTAATTGGACGAATTACAGCAGCATTTGAAATCATTCAAAACGAGTATCAAATTTTTAGTCAAGTCCGCCGAAATCATGTGCGACGTTCAAATTAATTTATATTTTGCGATTTGGTGTTACAATACTAAAATAAGTAAAAAATGTTATAAAGAGTAATCAAATTGATTTGTGATTTCTATTAACTATGAAAGATATTGTTGACTTGCGTTTGACTTGGAATTACACTATTTTCACATACAACATGCATTAGCTACGTTCGTATTTATTTCTACCTTTATATTTGATAAGTCCAACAAAGTGGGCTTCTCAGCAGGTCTATGTTGATTTGCTGGAAAAAGGAACTTTATCAGCCCTATTCATGAATATTTCTATACATATCTATTCATATTTGTACATACATATTTATCTAACTCCTGATACTTATCCTGTGGATTTCATGTTCATAGGATTTCTTTTATTGTTCGACGTTTCGACTGTACTGTGCTCTTCTACAAGTACGCGCGTACATATACGTTTTATTCGATTTGCCTACACTCGTAAAGAACATTTACTGTCCAGCTTGCTAATAAACATGGCGACAGTAAGTGATATTGATTTAAATTTATTAGCAGTGGCGTGCGTGTGTATAGTCAAGAAAAAACAAAACCGATTAGGGCGCTCACGAGTCGATCTAAAAAAGCAATGATATAGCTTTCTCTATCTTTTAAATAGGCTTTATTTGGTCTCGATTTCGCGAGCCCCCATTTAATGTTACTTTAAGGATGTTAATTTTTATTAATTAACTAAACATAAACATGATAAGTATTTAAAGTTAACATCAAAGTTTGAGAAAAAAAGGAAAAATACATTCAAAGCCAAAACTGTCTTAAATATTAGTTTGGTTGAAAGTTAGTTAGAAAACTGGCAAGGTTATCTGTTTCGCACACATCGTTGTCAAGTGGCTAAACAGTAGGTACCTGTTTTATTGGTTGCATTTCTTGTGGTTTTTTAAATGAACAGGTATGAAATGAATTTTGTGACACATGTTGCTGGGGAGGCGCAAACTGCAATGGATAGGTATAATGCTGAGGATAATAAAGAGTAGCGGAAGCGTCTCTGTTTAAAGTAACTTGTGAATTATTTTCTGCTGAATCGAGGAGCGAAACAATTTTTGTTGCTTTGGTAACACGACCCATTTCTGCTTCAAACAATAGGGCATTGATGAGCTTTTCCGTCTATAGCTTTGTTTCTCTTGGAATAGTTCTCAATTTTGCTGCAACATTATTTCCGAAACTGGTGCATTGATCTTCAATACTGCACTTCAACCTTTCTAAAACAAGAGCAAGAACTTCGTCTGCCTGGGCATCTGCTTTAGCTCTACGTTTCTTTGTAGAATGACTTGTAGGTGGAATTAACGATTTGTTTCCATGGGTGCCAGACCTACTACTTAATGGGCTCTGTACCGAACTACTAAATTCTTCAGTATCGTGTTCTGCTCCGTGAGTTCCATAACTAGTACTTGGTCGGGCATCCAAGGAGCTTTGTAATGAACTACCACATCCTTCACTTTTATTGTGATGCATTCCCAATTTCCTAAAATAAAAATGTAATAAATTGCTTGAAGTTTTTTGAAACTTTAAGGATAACATTTTCGAATTAAAACTCAGTTGTCAGTGTGTCAACCTTCTAAATAAAGAAAAACAATTTTCCTAAATATCACATATTGTAATGTGCCCATACAGGCAACCAGAGTAGCAACCTGCTGCACATAAGGGTTCTCAAACTCGACCAAACGGAATGACAAAAGACTGTAAATTAATTTAAATATTTTTGCAGTTTCCTACAACAGAGGATGAATGGAATACAATTGCTGATGATTATGAAACGAAATGTAACTTCCCAAACTGCGTGGGAGCCGTTGACGACAAACATGTTAATATACTCCCCCCTGCTGGAAGTGGTTCTTACTTCTATAACTACAAAGGAGGACATAGTTTAGTGCTCATGGCTATAGTCAACGCAAATTATGAGTTCATTATGGTTGATTTTGGAGTAAATGGTCGAATATCTGGGTGTTATTGACCACACTACATTTTATCAGAAACTAAAAAATGGGAATTCATCTTTACCGCCTCAAAGAAAACCTAAGTACAGTAAAGCTATAATGCCATTCGTTTTCATAGGTGACGAAGCATTTTCCTTGCGCTGCGACTTCTGTAAAACCATTTGGTCAGAAAGAACTTAATCATGACCGAACAATTTTTAATTATCGGCTTTTACGAGCAAGCTGTAGAGTTGAAAATGTTTTTGGCATACTGAGTGCGCGTTTTAGAATATTTCAAGGAGCGATTTCCATTAGTTTAGAAGGTATTGAAAAAGCAGTCATGGCCGCCTGTGTTTTACATAATTATTTGAGACGAAAATGTGGAACTGCATATGTACCAGAAGATAACTTTACAGTGAAAATATACAAGATGGCACAATAGATTTAGGATTAGAAAGCACTGGAATGACAAGACTGCAGCGCGGTTACAATCGAGGGAGTAACAATGAAGCAAAACAAGTTAGACTACTGTTTACGAATTACTTCTGTCATGAGGGTGCTCTGAGCTGGCAAGATAAAATGATACAGTAATAGTCACAACAGACAACAACACCCTGTAGAAAACTTAAAGCTTCTTATTCATAAAACATTACAGTACCTAAATGGATAATTTTTTACTTACCTCTCCTTGATCTGAATCAAACTGTTCATTCACCACGTTCTCGTCTGGTACGTTTGACACAGATGATCTGGGTATCTCTTGATCTTTTAAGAAAAGCAACAAATTGTAATACCATAAATGTGGTATATATATGTCATCCTGCCCAGCTCATGACCTTTTGGACTCTGCAATTTTTTTTATTTCTCTGCGAAACCCAGCACGCATACTATTGATTTTGGTTTTCACTGTTTCCTTGGTAGCCGTTTTTTCTACTTCTCTCCACTTTTCAACCAATATTTTGTACGCATCGTTTTTTTTTATTTCTATTGATGTAGTCCTTGGATTAAGTTTTCCATAAACAGGGTTAAGATTTATAAAGTTCTATGAATTCTATTAAAAACTCTTTTGAATAGTTTCTGCTATCAGCCATTATTAAACACAGTTAACACCTGAAGATGGTTAACGCGAACCGCACTGGTATTATTCCTGATACGTATATTCGTTCTGCCTACACACAGAGAGATATGTACGTGCAACCTGTACGCGCGTACAAATATTCAAGCAGCGACTGAAGATATCTTCGACGGATATTTTAGAGAGATTTTGTCTACACACCGGCGGATATGTACGCGCATACTTGTACGCGCATACATATCTCAATGAATGCTCATGTGTCGGTAGGCGCCTTTAGAGATCTTCAAGACGCCTCAATATCGCGATATGTCACATGTCTATCTTCAATGATGAGTTTGCGTACAGCATCGGCGT